TCCATCCATCCATCCATCCATCCATCCATCCATCCATCCATCCATCCATCCATCCATCCATCATCCATCCCCACCACCACTTCCCCCCTCTCTCCTGCCCAAGGAATGCCTGGGGTGTTCTCACAGCTGCCTGCACAAGGAGATGGGCAAAATTGATTAAAGCAATTCAATAACTGTACCTACCCCACCCCAGAGACACCTCTGTGACCCTCAGTCTGCTCCACAGTTGTTGTTATTGTTAATATTAATTATATTGATTATTAACATAATTTTTAAAAATTATTAATATAAATGTTATTAATAAAAAATTTATGCAATTAATAAAAATGTTATTAATTGTAGAATCACAGAGTGGTTTGAGTGGAAGGGACCTCAAAGCTCAGCCAGTACCACCCCATCCATGGCAGGGACACCTCCCACTGTCCCAGGTGCTCCAGCCTGGCCTTGGGCACATCCAGGGATGGATTTTATTGCCATCATCACCCCAGACCCACCAGAGCAGGAGCAGGGAGTGTGGGGATGAGGGGATGCTCCCTTTCCTGCCTGCACACACTCCCAGCCCCTTGGGTGCCTCCCTGGGGCCAGTCAGCTCTCCTGCCACATTCAGGGAAAGGATTCATCAATAGTTATTAAAATCCCAACAGCAATGTTGATTAGCAGTAGTAATTAAAGCTTTGCAAATGATTTATCCTGAAAACGGGGACAGCTGCCAGGCCCCCTGCCCAGAATGCTCCAGGGAGCTGTGGCCCAAGGGGACATCTGGGGACAGGAGGGCACAGGGGACCTCCCTGGGGTTTCCTGGCACAAAGGACAAACAGAGCAGAGCTGTGGCAACGGAGTCAGAGCCCTGCTGGCACCAAACACTGGGGGTGCTGGGAGGGGGCCCTGGGGTGCACCCTGCAGCTGCAAACATCTGGATGGAGCTGAGAGCTTCCCCATCAGCCTCTAGCCCTCCCCAGGAAGGTCAGTGGCACTGAGCTGCCCCTCCTGCCACCACAAGGCCTCCCCAGGCATCTCAGGGAGCCTTTGGGGAGAAATTCCTCCCTTTGAGGGGCTGAGGGCCTGGCACAGGTGACCAGAGCACCTGGGGCTGATCCAGTGCCCAAGGCCAGGCTGGACATGGGGCTGGAGTAGCCTGGGACAATGGGAGGTGTCCCTGCCATGGCAGGGGTGGCACAGGGTGGGATTCCATGGAACTCTGCCTCTCCTGGGTCCCTCTGCACAGCCCCAGGCCCCCTGAAGCTTCACCCCACCCTGCAGGTCCTGCCAGCTCCAGGAGAGGACACACAGAGGAGAAATGCTCCAAACCCATCCCTGCCAAGAGGGAATGTGGGAGCATGGGGGGAAACACGAGGGCATGGCTGGGGATCAGCAGTCTGCCACAGACAGGGACAAACAGGGACACAAACAGGACACAGACAGTGCACAGACAGGGACAGATCCCAGGGAACAGACAGGGACAAACAAGGCACAGACAGGGCACAGAGCAGGACAGATCCCAGGACACAGACAAGACAGATCCCAGGGCACAGACAGAAGTCTCTGCTTCCCCCAGCGAAGTCCCAGGCTGTGGGATGGCCCTGCCCAGGCTGGCAGCAGCAGCTGGGGAGGCTGCAGAGCTATAAATGCCTTTGTGTGGGCAGGAGCAGGCGCTGGCCCCGTCCCCTGTCACCGGCACAGCCAGCAGCTGCACCCAGCCTGGGGCTGCAGAGAGGCCAGGGCAACACGTGGGGAGTGCTGGGGTGTGATGGTGTTCACAGGGGTCTGAGGATGAGGGAAGAGACGAGGATCTGACTCCATGTTTCAGAAGGCTTGATTTATTTTATTATATATATTATATTAAAACTATACTAAAAGAATAGAAGGAATTATTTCATCAGAAGGCTGGCTAAGAATAGAATAGGAAAGAATGATAACAAAGGTTTGTGGCTCAAACAGAGAGTCTGAGCCAGCTGACTGTGATTGGCCATTAATTAGAAACAACCACATGAGCCCAATCACAGATGCACCTGTTGCATTCCACAGCAGCAGATAACCATTGTTTACATTTTGTTCCTGAGGCCTTCTCAGTTTCTCAGGAGGAAAAATCCTAAGGAAATGACTTTTCATAAAAGATGTCTGTGACACTGGGGGTCACCCAGAGCCCGGGGTCAACCAGAGCTGGGGTCCCAGACAGGAGAGGCCCCGGGGCTGTGGCTGAGGCTGCTCCCCCTCCCAGGCACTCCCTGTCCCCAGCCATGGACAGGGGCACAGGAGGGTGACTCTGGGCAGCCACAGCCTGCGGCTTGCTCAGCTCAAACTCCATCACCCCTACCCTGGCCCAGGTTCCTCTGCAAGGGACACCCTCAGGTGTGACAGTCTCAGAATCAGGGCATTGATGGGGTGGGAAAAGATCTCCAGGATCAGCAAGTCCCAGCTCTGCCCAATTCCCACCTTGTCCCCAGAGCTCTGAGTGCCACCTCCAGGGCTTCCCTGGACACCTCCAGGGATGGAGACTCCAAACCTCTCTGGGCACTTCCAGTTCCTGACCCCCCTTTCCATGGGGAAATTCCTGCTGGTGCCCACCCTGAGCTCCCCTGAGGCTGTTCCCTCTGCTTCTGTCCCTGTTCCCTGGAGCAGAGCCCGACCCCCCGGCTGTGCCCTCCTGGCAGGAGCTGTGCAGAGCCACAAGGGTCCCCTGAGCCTCCTTTGCTCCAGGCTGAAACCCTGCCCAGCTCCCTCAGGGATTCTCCAGCCCCTTCCCAGCTCTGTTCCTGCCCTGGCCACGTTCCCTTCTCCAGTCAAACACCTCTGCGCTGCTCACACAACCCTGGCAGAGCCAGGTGAGCCTCCCCAGAGCAGATGTGCCCCCAGTGCCACCCCAGGGACAGCTCACAGTGGTGTCACACAACTCCACAGCTGTATCCTCTCCTTGGTCAGTCCCAGGGGCTCTTCCCTGGCCAGAGGAAGGTCAGGGCTGGCTGCTCAGTGGATGAGTCAGGAGGGCTGGCAGGAGGCAGGAACCAGCCAGGACAGTTCATGGGATGCTCTGAACCCATCTCAGGTGGGGGAGCAGCACAGCCTGGGGGAACAGCCTGGAATCTCTCTGCCTTTGGGAAGTTGGAAGGAGCCTCTGGTGCAGCAGCAGGGCAGCAGTACATGGGCATAGGAATTAAATGAGAGTGGTTTGAAAAGCCCCTTGTCCCCAGGAAGGCAGGCAGGCTCTCCCAGTGCCTCATCCCCCTGGAATCTGAGCTCCTCCCAGCAGCATTAATCAGCGTGGCTCCCATTTGTCACGCCGAGGTCGCTCACCCTCCCGCAGGGTCCCATTTGGCAGCAGAACTCACTTTATCTGCTGATGTAGGGAGAAAAATATTACTAAAAGCTTGACTTTCAAACCTTGCTCGTGTGAGAGCCGGGCCTTTCCCATTTCCAGCCAGATTCCTGCCCCAGGCTGAATTCCTACCCTGGCCCCAGGAGCAGCCAGGGGCTCACAGAGGCAGCACAAAGGAAACAATATTTTAAAATCTGCTCTACTGGATTCAAGTGGGATCTGCACTAATGAACAGCCACTCAGGAAGTCATGTCTTCCTCAGGGAATTGTTTCAGGAAAAGTGAATTATAATCCAGGATGCACTCATGGAAAAAATGAGATGGACTTTGAGGAAGGCTGATATAAAGCCCATAATAATCCATAATCCATCTAATTTCAGGTGCCAGTGCAGGGGTGGGCTGCATGGTCTTTAAGGTCCCTGGCAATCCAAACCATCCTGGAATTCTGGAAGAGTTTTCCTCACCTGCTTTGGCACAAATCCTTCATCTTCTCCTCTCCAACAGCTTCCTGTGGTGCTCTCAGTGACAAAACAAATGGGCCAAGAGAAACCCTGGGAGGAGTCCCCAGCAGGCACCCAGGCTGGACAGGCCATGTCCTGGCACAGGGACAGCAACACTGCATATTTGAGAACCTCCTTTTCCAAGGAAATGGGGCACTTGAGCTGTTTCATATCAGCACTGCAAGGCATTTCCATGGAAACCCTTCCAGGTCCCAGCAATGCCAGAATGTGTCATGAGCCCCTCAGCCCCTGATGGGACAGGGGGTTCTCCATGGGAGGGGCTCCAGAAACACCCAAACCTGCTGGAGAGGGGCTCCAGAAACACACAAACCTGCTGGAGAGAGGCTCCAGAAACACACAAACCATCAGGAGAGGGATTCCCTATGGGAGAGATTCCCAAAACACCCAACCCAGCTGGAGAG